AAAATGTAAAGGATTATTGCATTATTTTGAAGAAGAACTTTAGTTAATTTTCAAGTTTTTGCTAACACCAAAACTTAATGACTTTTCTTGGGAGTTTAAAACAACTCATTTATGTTTTTACATGATGACGACAAGCAGAAATTTACTGGTAGAACAAACTCCAGAGTTCATTTCAGGGGTTTCACAGAGCAAGGGCACCTGGGACTGAGGAATGTCTCTCAAGGCCTTCCACTAGGTGCGGCCATGTGGCCTGTCCCCTGACACAGGAGTCAGGTCATGACAGGGGTTGTCCTCTTGAGATGAGAATAGGATCTCACTGGGGCATCCAGATGAACTGGACTGACCCTCCTGGACAAAGTCACAATGCTGACCAGTATCTTAAAAGATAGTTTATTCAATTGACCAGCCAGGGTTAACTCATCTAGGGAATGAGCAGTCCCAAGCTCAAATAGCTCAGGGTTTATAAAGGTAAAAAAAAGCATTCTTTTAGAGCAGATTCAAGCAAGGTGGTGTACAGAAGAACTTAGCAGTTATTTTATTTTACAAGCTCATAAATCACAAACATTCCCGAAACAATTAAAACCGTAAGTACTCCTGTAACAATTTCTTGACCTAAAGCAATGGGGAGTTCCTGGTTTCAGGGCCAGGTATTATGCTTTTTCAAATCTAGTAATTACAGTAGAAGGAACAGCAAGGGGGTAAATATGCCTAGTCCTTTCCTCGTAACTAGTTGTTCCAGTTCAATCCTGCCTTGCATAGTTTGGCCCTATTCTTAAAATTCAATAATTTTGTTCAGTTTCTATTTTCACATTTCACATACTTCATTTTGGCGGGGGGGGGGAGGGGGGGGTCATCACACTGCATTGATTAACTCCCTAAATGGCTTGGATCACCAGCCCCTGAGTAGCCTCTAAGCATACCCTAGAGGGAAAAGTTCTGCTGGTACCTGAGTAAGTCCATTTAAGGTTTGAAATCTTCATAGTAGGGGAGGGTGATGCTCCCACACCCCCTCAGGTGATAGGCACCACTGGATCCCTAGAGATAGGAGTAGCTACTTGACTGATAGGTTACTGAACCTTTCAGTTCAGTGCCTGGGACTGAGTGTCCTGTGACCCATCACCCTGGTGGGGGACACCAGGCCATGTGTATCTCCATGTTCCTGTCCTGTCTCTCATCTCCTGGCTTGTCTCCAGTCATCATGGTGTCCAATTCAGCTATCCATCAGAGAGCTGAATTTTTGTTTTTTTGTTCTTTCCTCTCCAGCCTATTCCCTTGCTGTGTTAAGTGTATTTTTGTATTGCAGACCTTCATTATTCAGTTAGCAGTCTGTAGGCAGTGCATTGTCACAAAAACTCCAAGATTCTACCTCTCAAAAAGTGGTTTCTCTGAATTCTGATAATTTACCTTACAACATCTGAGACCCTTTCTGTAGACTTTTCTTCCAAATAAACCTGTGCTAGTGTTTAAGCTACCTCTT